TTACATGTTTAAGGTAGTACAACGCGAGGGCGAGGCTCTAAGAGATTGCAAAGATTTGTCAATGTAGTACACGAAGTACACTACGCCAATTCCATAATTTACTGGCGGGCATCTTAATGAAAAATATGCGGCATGTGCATTTCCGAGATTCTCTTGCCGGTTGTCCCCCTTCAATCCTAGATGAGATCCTCAGTCGAGCTGAGAAGTACATTCGCGTAGAGGAGGTCACAGAGATGGGGCTACCCGTAAAGAGCAAAAGCGATGAAGATCTTCGTTTCACCATAATCGAAATGAAGACCAACCCGAGTTAGGAAGGAGAGACGTACGGTGTCCGAACCAGTCCTCTTTCTATCCAAAGTTCACACCCTTAAAGACCATACTATCGGATTTTTGGGTGGTGGCAGAGCAAAAAGGCCTGATCCAGCCGCCGCGGCCTATGAAGGAAAAATCGAAGTGCAACAAGTCGGACAAGTACATTGAGTATCACATGGATAGAGGGCACACGACCGACGACTGTTTTCAGATTAAGCAAGAGATCGAGAGGCTAATCCAGAAATGGTACCTCGAAGAATTCATACACCTGCACCCGAGCAAAATATTCAAAGGAAAACCCCAATTTCAAGCCAAGGGCGATCCTCGCGAGCCCAGGAGACATTGGGAAGAGGATAACTTACCGACACATGGGGTCATCGCCATCATCTCCGGAGGACCAGTGAAAGGCGACACTCCCAATGCTCGTCGAGCTTTGATAAGAGCTGCCGGCAGATCCTCCTCTACGTCTGAACACCCCGCCGGGCAGGTGCTCCACAATCATTCACCAGGGTCAGAGATTTCGTTCGGTGATGCCGACCTCGTAGGGCCACGTAACGACCAAAAGGACGCCTTGTTCATCTTCGTCTCTATCTCCAACTAGTTGGTAAAGAAGATCCTCGTAGATGGAGGTAGCTCGGCTGACATCATATTTAACGAGGGTTTCGAAAAGTTGGGAATTTCAAATGCCAAGCTCACGCCGGTAAAGACTCCCCTAGTTTTATTCAGTGGGAGTGTGGTAGAGGCCCTTGGAGAGATACCTTTAATCATATCCTTAGGGTTGTTTCCACAAAGAGTCACAAAAACGGTAAATTTTCTGGTCGTCAAGGCCACATCAACGTATAATGAGATTTTGGGACGACCAAGCATCAATCTATTCAAAGCAATTCCCTCGACTTACCACATGAAGCTGAAATTCCCAATGGCATATGGGAGTTCATAGACGACCAGCGCACAACCCGCGAATGTTACCCGAGTACCCTAAAGACACCACAAATCCGAGCTAAGAATCGGACAGGTGGGGTAGATGACACCCCGAACCATATGAAGAGGATGGGAGTTAAAGATGAACGCACTACAGTGTTGATTAATCAACACAAGCATGAGACTCGCGGCAGTGAATGAAATGAAGGAAGTGGAGTTAATCCCGGGTAACCAAGAGAAGCTGCTCAGAGTTTAAGCAAGCCTTGACCCCAACACAGAAGTTGAACTCCTTGAATTCTTTCCGACAAATGTCGATGTATTTTCATGGAGAACAGAGGACTTAGAAGGAGTTTCCCCATCCACGGCACTACTTCGTCTCGACGTCAACCCGAAACTTAAACCCATTAAGCAGAAGAAAAGGACATTCGGCACCAAGCGCAATAAACATATCAAAGAAGAGGTCGTCAAACTCTTAGAAGCCGGGCACATCCGATCAGTCTGGTATCCAGTGTGATTATTTAACACCCTCGTGATTAAGGAGGGGGTAAGTGGCGCATGCCCAAAGGACCATTTCCCCATCCCAAGAATAGACAAGTTGGTAGATTATATATCGGAATGCGAACTTTTGAGATTTTTGGATGCCTATTAAGGTTATAATCAAATTCAGTTAGCCCCGAAGGACCAGGAGAAGGAAAGCTTTGTTAAGGATTAGGATGTCTAGTGTTACAAGGTGATGCCATTCGGCCTTAAGAATGTGGGAGCCACGTACCAGAGGCTTGTGAACACTATGTTTGACAAACTCATCGGTCACAATATAGAAGTATACATAGATGATATGCTTGTCAAGAGTTTAAGGACCTCGAGCCATGTTGAGGATCTCGAGCAATGCTTCGCCATACTAAGTTAATTTAAGTTGAAGTTAAACCCCTCGAAGTGCACCTTCGGGGTAAAATGAGGGAAGTTTTGGGGATACATGATCTCGCAACGAGGCATAGAGGCAAATTCCACAAAGATCGATGCTCTCGTCAACATGTCTTTGCCGCAATCAATCAATAATGTCCAACAACAGAATGGATGCTTGGCCGCCCTGAACTGATTTATTCACGCTCGGCCGAGAAGGGGCTCCCTTTCTTTAAAGTACTCCGAGAAGGGAAAAACTTCAAGTGGACGGAGGAATGCCAAAGGGCTTTTGACGAACTCAAGCAGTATTTGGCATCACCCACTTTCTTGACCAAGCCAAGGGAGGGAGATGAACTTCTGCTATATCTAGTAGCTACGTCAGATGCGGTCAGTGCAGTTTTGGTGTGCAAGGGGAAGAGGGGACACCAACCTATTTACTAAATCAGTCGCGTCCTCCGAAGAGCCGAGCAACGGTATTCGGGGATAGAGAGACTCGTCTTAGCACTAGTCACCGCCGCCTGAAATCTACGACCATATTTTCAACCTCACCAAGTGGTGGTCCTCACGAATTTCCCTTTGAAACAATTTTTTCGAAGTCAAGGGACGTCGAGCTGGCTTGCCAAATGGGCAATTGAGCTAAGTGAGTATGGAGTAGAGTTCTGGTCCCGAGCAGCCATAAAGGCGCAAGTCCTTGCGGATTTCATTGTGGAAATGGTATCAAACGACGCTAAGTGCTCTTCCCCGACTTGGACCCTCCACGTTGATGAATCTTCCACCATCGGTGGTAATGGAGCTGGGATATTCATTCAGAGTCCAGACGGTGATACCATAGAGAATGCCCTAAAGCTAGAATCTTGATGTCCAATAACGAGGCAGAGTATGAGTCCCTCGTGACCGGTTTGAAGTTATTCCAGGGAGCCAGGAGGTTGTTATTATACAACCACTCATAGGTGGTGAAGAACCAGGTCATGGAGACATACGAAGCCAAAGAGGAAAAAATGATTAAGTATTTGGACCTGGTATGCAAGCTTGTTAGAGTACATTATATTATAAAACTCTTGTAATACTAGGATTTTAGTATGATTCAGTTACCTAGATTAGTTATGATTTAGTTACCTATTTAATTATATTACCTTGTATTATTTCTCTATATATATTCAATACAAATCAACCCATAACTCAATGGGGGTTTCTATTACATCTTAACTCTCTCTTTCTCCAAATCTATTATTCCTATATGGTATCAAAGACCAGGTTCTTAACATAGCCGCCCTTCTTCCAAATGGCGGTGACCACCAAACCAATTTTATCCATCCCCGGTGGTGGTATTCTTCTAACCTATATTCTTTTTTTTTAATATCTTTTTTTTCTATATTTTCCATGAACACCACCCAAATTTCCTCCCTCCCCCGGTGGTGGTATTCTTCTCTTTTAACTTATATTATTTTCCGACATCATCTTTTTCTTCTTCTTCACATTACAAGAGTACTACTCTATACTCTATCGTCATAATCGGTTAATCTCTTTTCTCTCTCTTTGATCTCTATTCTTCTTTTAATTATTCTTCTTCCCCTCTCATATGTCTCTTTCTCTCGTGCATATCATCTATTCTCTCCCTCAAAAAAAAAAGAGAGATAGAGAGAGAGAGAGAGAGAGAACATAAATTGCTTATTTTTCTCTCTCCCGTTATTTTCTGTTTTCTATCAATTGGATAGATATTTTCACAGAGGCTTTCTCTAGCGTTGTGTTTCGCGGCTTCTTGTCCAATCTTCACATTTGGTGTTTATTCGTTCCAACTGCGGGAGCATGTTAGCAAGTGATTTTCCAGTCTTCACGTTTCGACTGCAGGGGTGTGTTAGAATATATTATATTATAGAACTCTTGTAATACCAGGATTCTAGTATGATTCATTTACCTAGATTAGTTATGATTTAGTTACACTACAACAAAAATCATCTTTGTGGACACAAGAAAATGTCCCAATATATAACATTTTGGGACATTTACACTTTAAGGGGCAAATAAAATATATGTCGCGTAGTTGTGTGTCGCATTAGCCTTTGGGACATTTATTATATGCCCCTAAAAGTTTCTCTTTTCGAGGCACTCATTTGTGTCCCAATAAATGGTTATTAAGACATAAATATATGTCCTCTTAAGAAACCCATGTTTCTCCTAATCAGTTTTTCGAGACAATTATATATGTCATTATATATACACTTCATATCCTGCTAATATAACTAAAATATATATAAAATACAAATTTAAATAATAAACACAACATAACAATAATCTCAATTTTCATAACAAAAATTTCAAATATATTCAACTTAGAAAAATCATAGTACTACAAAGGATCTTCCAAACCAACCAACATTATGGAATCATAGTCCTATAATGTAAAATTTGAATATCTTGATTAACTAAACTTTTAATCTCTAGCAACTCTAAACTTCAACAGTATGATTCAGCTCCCATCATATTCTAGATGGCTTGCATCAACAATAAAATTCATCATTCAAAGCAACTGCATAAGCAACCTGTAGGAAAGAAAAAAAAACATCACGAAGGAATAAAAAAATAAGTTACAAATTACAGTGCCTTCATTAATGAGTAAACATATAAAAATGCAAAATAACATACCATCTCTTATTTATCTGAATATAATCATTTGGGGAAATTCCTTTTTTTTTTCTACCTAGCATAAACAAATTATATTTAATACCTCATAAAAAAAATTAAAAAGTTACAGAAGATAAGGAAAAAATAAAATAATACATACCAGTAAAACGGCCCAAATAATATGTATTCCAAGAACCTTCCAATTGTTTGAACATAATTATACGAGAAATTTATTCTTACCTTTTTTTTCACCTGATACCATTCAACTTAATCAACACCTTCTGCAAAAATAAATAAGATAGCGGATGAACATAATGCAAATGTAAACTCTAACCTCTTGCCATGTTTCTAGACTAAATCAAAATCCTTAAATCATAGGTCTACAAGACATGACATAGTTCAACACACAATTAATCAACAGTAAAAGATACAGTACATCTCTTGATGCCACAAGTACAAAACAAAGAATATGAAAGATAGTCTTATAAGGAACTATAATTGAAAACAAATAATACCCGAATAGTCTTCATTATAGGTTTGTTAAAAATCAGCCTTCCCCTGTAGCAACCAAATTTTTTTAAACAATTATCACGAAGAAAACAGGTAAGAAAAGAATAAAGTTGAGTATTACATTAGCTGTTGCTTAAGATAAGTCTCAGTAATAAGATCACTTCGTTAAATAAATTATCGCCATACTCAGATGTAATAAAGAGATTATGCAATCTGATGCACACTAGCCAGAGCACATGAGACATCTCCTAAGGGACCTAAATAACCAAACATATACTACAATTAGTCTTAATATTTTTATTCCATTAAAATAACAGTTGATGCAAAAATAAAACAAAATACCAATTAGATAAGAGTAATTAACAAACATGATATTTGTTTATGGTTACTATCCAATAACATTGTGGGGAGAAATATATTGGCAAGAAAAACACAGTAAATGCATTTCTCAAGGACTCCAACATCAAAATCCCATATTCAATCTTAAACTTAGTTATACAGACCCCATCAATTGTTTATTAGCAGTACAAACTAATTTTTCTTACAAAAAAAAATTAACTTGATGTATTCTTCTTAACAATAAAAATCATATTTGGAATAGCAAAATTTAATCAGTTATATAATCAATGCCATTACCAAAATTTATAATAGCTAGGTGGTAATCGGGGACCAAATCAAAGCACTCATCACATTAGAGTGAAAAATCGGACAAGTCACATGCATTTTCCTTTCAAAAGTGAAAAATCATGGTTAAGCATAAAAAATTCTCAAGCTAGTTCTTCGGAGAAGTTCAAGAAATACATATAATAAGGTAAATTTACATTTGTCAAAAGAAAGAAAAAACAATACCTTTCATTGTCATTGCTACCATAGCTGAATTTGTTTTATTAAACTCTTACATCGTAACTCATCAACGCTCGAACATTCCTGACATTGTTGCCGTCGAACTGCAAATGGGGAAACACTTTCATAATCCTTGCCCTAAACCATTTTCGTCGAATTTAAATGTTCATTAAACAGAAATATATAGGTGAGAGAAACAGAAATTGATTGTCGTCAAATGAAAATTGGGAAAAACGTTTCAAGCCCTAACTTCGTTTCGCCCAATTCAAAATTTTGTTTCTAAACCCTAGTTTCAGAAGATTAAAATGATGGGAGAGAGACACAAAATCGTAAGATAGAAAAGAGATCTTACCTTCATAAGTTTAATCAAGAAATTCTCGACTTCAAGGAGATGAGACGTTCGGTGCATAAGAAGGGAACGCTGGGAGATTAAATGAGATGGAAAGAAAATGGAACTAATAAACAAGAATTTATTTTATAATCTTTTTTTTTTTTTTGGGCAAATTCAATTTGAGGTATAAGTGCCCCGATAAGTTAAATAATTAGATGCAATTTATGAAGTGTCCCAATATCCTTTATTTGGGACGCTTGTGAAAAAGTGTCTCTAACTATATGTCGTAATAGATGTTTTTTGTTGTAGTGTTACCTAGTTACACTATATTACCTTGTATTATTTCTCTATATCAATGGTGAGAGGGGCTCTCGATCAAGCAATTATTCACTTCAATAGGAAACCCTCAGGCCAATGGCCAAACCAAAGTTACGAGTAGGATAATCCTACAGCACATAAAAACAAGATTAGGGGATGCCAAAGGCATATAGGTCAAGGAGCTTCCGAGCGTACTTTGGGCCTATCGCACAACTCCCCGAAGTTCAACGGGAGAATCTCCCTTTAATCTTGCATACGTAATGGAGGCGGTGGTTATGGGCGAGATAGGACAACCTTCATGACGAATTGCGAACTACTCAATCCAACATAATGACACGGCAATTAGGGTCAGTTTAGACTTCCTAGAAGAAGTGAGAGACGGCGCGTCGACCAGAACGGTGGCCTACAAGGCTAGGATGGCCCAAGCATATAACTAAAGTGTAAAGTCGAGAGCTTTCCAAGTCGGAGATCTAGTGCTCCGAAAAGTTGGAATCTCTAAAGTTGTTGGCAAATTGGATCCAAAATGGGAAGGACTTACAAAATAACTTAAGTTGTCAGTGCAGGAGTGATACGAACCTCGTAGAACTTGTTACGGGACCCAAATACCTTACACATAAGCAAGATCGAAACATCCAAACAAAAAAGAAATCAAAAGGGTGAAACCAGGACCCGTTGCCTATAAAGGCACAAGAACCTTGGTATGTGAAGACGCCACAATCAATTGTGAAAGCTTGATGGATAAGTCAGGGTGAACGCACGGAATCCTCCGATACGTTCCAAGAGTTCTTAAAGAACTAAAGTGAATAATATCAACTTATTGATAAAAAATCGTCCATTAAAATAAGCCAAATTGGCAACCTATTTATAAGTGCTAAAAAGACTCTTTTTTCACAAGAAAAATGACTCATACCTAAACTATAATAAGGAAACTAAAAAATAGCAAATACTAACCATAAGAAACTCTAAAATAATAAAAACATAGTAAATCCTAAAATAAAAACGTGCATAATTTAATTAAATAACTTGAACATCAAGTCGACTTCCCGATCTACCTTCTAAACTCGCGTAAACATTTGGTTGTTCACTTGTAGAAACTTCACGCTCGATTTCATCATTGTTCCACTTTGAATCTATGTTCGCTTCAAGCATGAAAGTTGTAGAAATTTCAGTTAGATTTCCGAAGAAGTTTGAATCGCCTTCATTGAACATAAGATGAGAGAGTTATCACCCAAATGGTAAAACTAATAGGTATAGGCGAAAATCTCGGATGCATGGAATTTGACTTGTCCAACGAATTCCCCTCTTTCCTTACATCCAATTCCAGACCATGGACATCTCAAACATTTGATTCAATCATTTCTTCTCCAAGGACAACTCGAATAGCCTCTTTAAACTCGTACGCTTGCGCTTCTTCTAATTTTTTTTATCTTTGAGCTTGCTAGGATCGTATCAAGGAGCACACCGCCTCCAGCACATTGATGGGCACCACGTGCCAAGGACTTGGAATATCGGTAACTTGAAGAAATATTTTACTTAATCCCTTTGTTTCCCACCCGTTGACCCTACGAGGCCCTCTACTTATTTATTTTTGTTTTCCACAAACAAATCAGGGGCATGTCACCCGCAGCATTTTATATGTTATTAATGAATAATTTTTCGGGGGCATACCGCCCACTGTACCTTTATCATACTCCTCTATCAATACGCGTGTTTGTTTTACAAAAAAAAAAAAAAAACCACTTGATCAAACGATCAAGTGCTACGCACGGGGTAAAGAGGGAAATATCATCGGCCATATGAGCTTGGCCAGCTCGGCCCTTGTTATTTACCTCCTCAAACTTCCACAATAGCATAAAAAATGGCAACTAAAAGCCCGAGGTACCCCGCCCCGCCTTACAATGTTCATATAAAAACATAGTGATGCAAATGGAACCATAAGAGAAGTCCACCAAGAGCCACTAAGCTTGCCAAGCGGACCAATCACAAGGCTTAGAGCCAAGCGTTTCAAGGAAGCATTGTATGGGATGATTCAAGAAGAAGTTGAGATGGGAAGCACTAGGAGGACCAACATGAGTTCAAATCCATGTACAAGTCCATTCACAATTCAAATGGATCCGAATCATATTGGAGGAAAGTCAATCACAAATATACCAGTTATGGAAGGGTCTAATTAAAGCAATCACGTTATTCAAGGCTTTGGAAGGTTTATGATTTGTGCAACCAAAGATACACACGTTTTTCACCTTTGGAGAGTCCGTCACCTATGCAATTTCAGCTTTAGAATATCAATATTATGATTTAGATGTTTTCTTAATTTAGAATCAATAATTGTTATTTAGATTGGCTGATTTGATTAGATGGATAATAATTCCTTGTTCTTAGTTTATTTCCATAGATTAGAGAATATTCAACCCTATATAAAGGAGCTAAGTTGTAAGTTTCATCAATCAAATTCAGAAATCATTTTGTCAGATATTAGTATTGTTCTTTATATCTTGAAAGAGCTTTTGAACTTATCAAGTTATCTTGTGGCGTTCAAAAAACAAACTTATCATCAAGATTCTTGAATTCATCTTGAACTCTTGGTGTGGCATCTTCATATCCATTGTAAACTTGGTACTAATCATTGGGTCAAGGTTCGACAAAGTTGTTTCTTTGGGGAGTCTTGGGGTTCCAAAACCATATATTATTATTGGGTTTCGACACATGTTGGCGTAGTTCATATCACATAGGCACCGCATGTGGGCGGCGTACCCAAATAAAATTTTAGGAGTTCGATAACCACTACGTAATAGAAACACGAAAATTGCAAAAGTGAAGAGCAATTAAACAAAACAATCCATTCACATAGCAAAAGCATGCATATTTTATAGCTAAGGACACTTCCCTAGAAAGAAAAAAAATAGCAAAAGGAATCCAAAGGCATTTCTAAGGCAACTAGACCAAATATAAGTACTACGACTCTCATACGAGCACTTATCTCAAAATATTAAATCTACTAAGTCCTAAGCGGTGGGGTCGCTCTCCTCCATCGGCGCGGCGGCATCGGGGAGCTCATCCTGATCGTCCATCTCGTCAAGATCCCCAATTATCTCCCCGACCTCCAAAACACTAGGCTCTATCGGCCTCAAAGTCTCCTCGGTAACGCCCAATCAAAGGCCTTGTTGGCGGCAATCTCGGACAATTTCATCAAAGAACTTACTAACGTGGTCATTTTGCAACTTTGCAAAAATATGACTCGCCATAAGTTGTTCAACCACCATCGTTCCCCAAAGGGTCTCCAAGACCCCGACCGAACCACTATGGGCCGGCAAAAAGGAGGTAACCTCCAACTTCTCCTTCTCCAACTCAGCGCACACTCCTTTGCACCCGCCTCGGCCTCGCGACGACTTTTCTTCTCGCACTCCCAAAGGCCCAATAAATCCTTATGCTACTTCTCCAATTTGGCCAACTTGTTCTTCTCTTGATCAAGAGACTCCTTAAGGCCGACATTCTCAACTCTAAGAACCGCGTTATGATCTCGGGCAGTGGCGGATCCACTCTAGGTTTAGGGTGTGTTGTTGCACACCCTTGATTTAAAAAAAAAAATTTACCTATACATTTATCATTATATAATGTCAGATTCGTAATGTTGAAAAGATCAAATAGTAGTTCAAGTGTAAGTACGCATAATTTTGTTTACAATGTCACAAGTTCGAATTCTACTATCTACAAATATTAATTGTTTTATTCTAATTTAACTTTCATAATATTTAACTTTTATTTATTAAATTTCCATTTACACTACATTTTCTCTCAATATTTTTCTAATTTTTTAAAAATTCTCAAAAAATTGCAAAAAATCTTGTTAGTTTTGATATTCTTACATATTAGTATTATTTTTTGTGTATATTATTTTGTAAAAAAAAATTATCGTGGGCCCCGAACCCCCGTAAACTTTTACAATTTCGAACACGAGTTGGTATTTGCTCGATTTATCACGCAACCTAGCACACTCCTCCTCAATACCTTTACCATATGATGCATCATCGTATACCAAGTCATGCTTATGGA